CCTCCCCATCCCTCAGGGGACTGGGTAGGGGCCAGTGAGCGGCTGCGTGTGGCTTTTGGAGCCAGCTGGGTAGGCTCAAACCATGACAGCAATTCAGCATTAAGAACACAGTTCCCCACTAGTGGAAGTGAAAAAGTAATCAGTGAATGGTGTCCGATGCAAGTTTTATTTACCTATTATTAGTAAAGAAATTATGATACACATAGAGCATTTTCTTCTCACTAGAAAAAAATAAGATGCTATTCTATGTATCCTAGAATGCAAACAACAGTCTAACATATAATAGCAAGGAAAGTAAACAGTAGGAGAATACAAATAGGAAACAAACTTACCTCAACATTCCAATTCATGCTAAAATTACAACAGGTTTATCCATGAAATAATTTTACCACATTTTAGTTACTACCATGTAGACAATAAACAAAAACTTTCTCAAAATTAACTCCAAAATAACTTCTTTATTTTGTTAAAGATATGGCCAACTAAGACCCCAGCTCATGCTACTATATATCATAATTATTACATGTATTTGGGTGAATGGACACTGACTGAGCTCTCTGCATCCCTGTCACAGGTGTGAACAGGTCACTCAGAGGTTAAAAAATTCATGAGTGGTTATTCACTCTTTCATGCTCTCTCTGCTGCCTTACTCCCAAATCTTGCTAACTGGAGCAACTTTAACCCAAGGTAAAACTATGCGAGAAACTTGTGTTCAAGAAAATTTAGATGCTAATTCTGTAAAATATACAGTAAACAATGATTCAGCTTCTTATCAAGAGTAGACTCCTGACAAATTATGGTTTTGTACACCAATGTCAAACTAACAATGTCTATAGGCACAGAAGCGTATTCCAGAGGTGCAGAGCTAAAGTAAACTTTGGAAGATGGTTTGTCCACGTACACATGTGGTCCTCTCTAATGTTTATTATATTGTGGCTGGTGACGCACTTTTGGCTAAAGCATCTCATGCCCAAAGTCTTTTGATCTGATGCCACTAAGAGAAGGACAAACCCCAACTATCTTTGGTAGATTGCTCCAGTAGTTATTCACTGTTAGCCATAAATATGTGAGTTACTTTCCAGTTTGAATCTGTCTGGCCTCAACTTCTCGCTATTAACTCTTTTTGGTATTTTGAGGTACAGAAGACTAAGAAATAATTTTTCTGCAGAAAAAAAAAACCCACTCAACTTTCTCTGTTGGATAAACAAATATTCTTGTATACACTTACTGTATGTGTACTATATATTATAATATCGCTATTTCTCCACCAAGATACAAGTCATAAAGCCAATTCTCTACCACTTTGTGAATAAAGTAAACAAACTCAGTCCTTTAAAATTTTTGTAACGCATCAGTTTTTCTAACCCTGAGCCAGACTATGCATCCTTTTGACCTCATGTAAAAATTTTCAGCTCAGTTACAGATCTGGACATCAGAGCTCTACAAATTATTTGAGTAACATCCTCTCCAGTACAGTACACAACCAGAGGCAGTGCCTTCCTCATTGCTCCCTCTGCCTTGTTCAAGGACACCATCTGCCATTTAGCTACAGCCTGGCAAAACTGGGTGTTCACATTTACTGTATGCCCACTATAACCTTCTGCCACAGCCTGTGAACGCTGAATGTATGCTGACCTTTTGAACAGTGACCATCAGGCTGTACTAGATAAAATGCTTTACAAAAGCTTTGTAAGTCTGTCCAGCTCCCTTTATCGGTCTGTTTTTGTAATCCCATTGAAGAATAAAACTTGTTGGAACTTGTTTTCCATAAGATAATGTTGAACAGCATTACTTATATTTCTATCCTTCAAGTCATTATCTGTAGAAATCTTTATTTATTTTTTCATGATGTGGCCTGTGATAGATCTTATATTGATCTATGTTTCCCTGAGTGACACAGCTGATAATTTTTTAATATTGGCACAAAATTAGTCTCCTTGCTGTCTTTTGTGACACTTTCTTTCATCTTGTCCCCAGTACACTTGAATTTTTTAACAGTTAACGTTAGTGAGACAGAGGTCTCAGCCAACTGTTTAAGGACTCTTGTGTGCAATTTATTCAGACTTAACTAATTCTATATCACTTAGAATTTACTCTTAGTATGCATTGCAACCTTCTTGGTTACTGCACACTGCAACATACTTTGTCACTCTTTTATGGAAAGATTACCTCATCCTGCTTGCTTCCAAATGCAGAAAGAGAACATTTATTGGACACACATGCCTTCACTACTTTATCAAGAAAGATAAACCTCTTTGCCCAATAAGGGACCTAACCCATTGCTAAGATCCCCTTTGTTACTATAATGTTCAAATCCTTTTTTACTACCCTTAATGTTCCTAAAAAGTCTAACTTTTATATGCTGTACCTTTATTGGAGTGTACCATCTTTATTGGGAAGCTATTGCAGTGTACCTACAATTTTGTTGTGATAGCAACTTAAGTTCATACCTCCATTCATGGCATCAATCCTTATTTTAATCTGGTTGGGTCCGGTCAGCAAATTTCTGATTGCATTGAAGTCAAAGATACTTCGAAGGAGATTGAGGTAGATATCCACAGAATCCACAATTTCCACTAGAAAAAAATAGGTAGAAAAAACCCCAATACAGTTTACACATGGGAAACTATCTCTTTCAGTACACTTCCACCAACCATGCACCTCGATCAAAATCAGAGTGTGCAAGCTCTACACAACATGGATTTGTTCTGAAGCCCACAGAGGCGAAGTCGAAGACTTCCACTGATTTCACTGTGGTTACCATCAAGCTTTAAGCCTTGCAAAGATCAACAGATTTGCCTGCTAAAGGACTGCAGAGATAATGTAAGGTGACGTTTCCTATTTCACTGAAAATATCCATAAGAACACATTATATCAAAGTAAACTCTTTATTTCTATATTCACTAAATTACTGAACAACTTTTCCAGTCAATAAACAGGTTTATTCTCAGAGGACGGAAGACGTCCATGCCGAGTTGAAGCCACACAGCCTATTCTTCTATCTGACAGCAGTATCTAACAGCACCATTCCATCAGGAGAGACATACAACCTATTCTTTTTGGCTTTAGCACCTGGAATATCTATCTCCAGTTTGTGGTGAATCTACCACTATACTTTTGCATTTTATACCTCACTAATTTAGGAAAATTAGGCTCATATACAACATCTGAGTTTTGCTAAGGTCTTGCTAATTTCAATTCCAAATTAATAAAAGCAGAGCACTACAATTTTTCTAGTTCTTTTGGAAGTAAAACATTCAACCAAAATGAATCAATGAAAGTAAGTCTGTCATAACGAAACCAGTTACCAAACAACAGTCGAAAGCCATGTTTCTCAGTCATCTTGGAACTTACTACTTTTCCTGATTTAAATAAAAAGCATACATTCTACAACTGTCTTTTTATCTAGATAAATTAATATCTTGAATTATTTCAGTTACAAGTTAAATTATTACTTAGAATTTCAGCTGGTTTTCCTCAAAATGGCCTAATGCTCTTTAGGATAACATGAATATGACACAGACATTTCTTGATGCTGAGAAAAATCGAGACAATACGCTTGAATGGAGAAACAAATAAAGGGCTCTCAGGACTGAAAAACAACCTGTAAAACCTATTTGAAAACAAGTTAATTATACGGTATACACTGAAAATCTTAAGGATTCCCTAAAATCACATTATTGCGTATCTTTATATATATATATATATGATGTTTAATAGGTTCTAACCTTCACACTTATGAACAAATGCCTCAACTTCATTGGAGCTGCTCACACATGTTAAGATAAAGTGCATGTGCAATTAAAGTCTAAAAATTATTTCAGCTCCTGCCAAATCCAACTGCTTTACTCTCAGTTGCTTCAACACATCTGTAGCCTTGATTCATGGGAGTTAGTTCATACAACTGAAAAGGCAGAAGTTTAGAATACATCAGATAGTATGTTAAAATACTTTTTAAATTATTTTCATTCTTTCCCCACTTTCGTTCTGCATTCAGACCTGTGTAAACTATACTTATCCATGCACTTGTAAGCCAATTATATTGCTTCAGTACGGATCCCTGGCAGCTCTGCTCTCCCAGGATGATGTATTCTGGGAAGCAATGATTGGGAAATTATTTTTCTTTAGAAAAACATTCAGACAAATTGCAATTATTTTTAATCTATTTACAAAACCGGTAGGGGGGGAGGAGTGTCTCATTTTCACACAGAAAAATGCAATTTGGAGTGATTAAAACATTGAAAAAGCAAAATTTAAAACTGTGGCAATCATATGATTCCAGAGTGGTGCTAGAGCTGAATTTTCTTTGCTTTTTGTTTGCCTAAAAAGCCGAACATGTTCTTTGCAAACAAGAAAATATTAATTTAAGATTTTTTTTAATCAAAAACTTTATCAAAATGTACTTTGTCTCAAAATATAATGTTTTGGTGGAAAAAAAATGGCTTTAATTCTAGGACATCAGGAAGGAGAAAGAGTCCTTGAGGCCACACAGAGTTTTACAGTATTTGAAATACTGTCTGAATATTGTCTGGACCCCTTTCTTTGCATTTGACTCCTTCAGGACAAAAAGGCTGTGTTAGCTCATTTTAAATCAAGTGTACGCGTAAAAGTATTCATGTGCCTAATATTAAATATGTGCTTAAGCACTCTCTTTACATTTAGAGTCACTGGAGGTATAGTGCCTTACACATCCCACAATTTTTCACAAAGTGTGAGCAAAGAATGAATAAACTGAGACTCTCACAAACTCTTTTGTCAATTAGACTTCCATAAGCAAATCATTCCTAGTCAAAAACTGTTTGTGTTTGTTGTTTAACTATTAGCAAGCCTAAGCACATATATTTGGCAAAGGTATTTGACTAAATGATAAGGCTTAAAAGTCCATAACTCAGCTTCCTCATGTGCAAAACAAATGCAACACTTACCTATACTGCCTAATATTTTGAGAACTTGTAGCAAGGCATTTTGAAGAATTAAAGTTCTGTTTAAATAATTACCCATTATCCTTCTGCAGCAACTCTAGTACTTAGAATCAATAGATGTAGCATGCATAAAAGCACACATCGATACCTCGGAAAGGTTTGAATTTGTTCTCCAGATCAAATTCTTGTCTTCCTAGGCGTGATAAATCAACTCGGAGGTCAGGACAAATGGCATATTCCTCCAAGGTTTTGCTGATTTGATAGATTTTATCTGAAACTATATCTGGAGCAGGTCCTATAAGAAAAAAGAATGAGTGGGTTACTTTTTTAAAATTAAGGTTCTCTACTTAAAAAGTGAGTGCTATAGCAAACATTTTTCTGAATATATTTAAGTTATCAAGGAATAAACCCAGAATTACGGTAAATAAGGTCTGTTCTCTTGGTGTAACACAGATATTTTTTTAAAAAATTTAACATGGAAATACAATGCATTGCTCACAACATTTTGATTCACATAGAGTATTTAAATCGATCATTGTCCAGGGCAGGGGGCATGAGGGAACCAAAAACCCCAAAACTGTCTTTCTTTGTGTTTATTGCTCAAAGACTGCCATTTTTCTACACAGAATCTCAACATCACATTTTTTCATGAGACATAAATTTAAAAACTCTTACCAGTTTAACAGTGGTGTTCTCTTGCAGTTTTGCTCCAATGGCTTAACGAAATTGTCAGAATTCAATACCTTAACTGCTTAACAAGTAATTATGACCTGAAATAGTTATGTCATTCAGGAACAGAAATCACATCTTAGTTGTGCATTACTTTTATTGCCAAATCCTGAGGACTGGCTCTATTTTTAAAGATCTACTGTCAATCAAATCGAAGCTGTAGGCTTGATGCAAAAATTACCAGATGAGCTACACCATATGTACTGCAAGAGTTGAGTCTGAGTTACAACAGAAGTCCTTTCTGGGTTATCTGACTCTTCATTGCTCATATTAAAGCATACACTCCCACTCTGAAAAATTATTTCCTTTATTCTCTTTTACTTTATGTTCTCTCTCTTAATCCAAAGCCTCTGTCTTTTCAGTGCTAGCTTCCCACTACTCTAGCAATGCTGCTATATTCAGCACAGCTTTGCCACATAAATTAGCGTGTTCCCTCTCAGATACAGTGTACCAGATGGTCCAAGGCAATATAATAAGTAACAGTCACTTAACTCTTCATTTGGCTTATAAAATGACTTCTTATTCTTCTAATCCAAACCCACCCAAGGGGTGAGGACAGGTTTCATTAGCTCCAGATCATACTTGATAGATGGCTGTATTGTCTACTGATATTTCCAGCTATGGAGATCCCACAGTGTCACCCCACATTCTCTCCTACAGCTATAGAAACAAACCGCTTCTGCCTGACCTGGATCTGCAAAACAGACTGAGCGAGAATGCAGAGCAACAATAGCCTTCCCTAGGAGCTTGTCATGGTGCCTAACCATTCTCTTAGTTCAAAAGTCTTGCCTACGACTCAACCCACATCTTCTCAGCTGCAAGTTAAATGAACTACTTTTCATTACAATCCTTCCTGATTATCATAAATAATTGAACTTTGTGACCTGTGCTTAAGGAGCATTTCATATTTAAAGCTTAATAGCCTGTTCGAATTTTCTTTAAAAAGGCAAAGCACACTAAAAAGAATGCCCCACCAACTGTTACCCATTTATCAAAGAGATTTTAGGTATATGTGGTGTTTTAAAGTTTATGGAGTGCTAATGGTTTGGCTTGCTATGTTCATGCTGTGACCCTGGCTGTCTCACTGTCTGACCTCGCACAGTCCCTTTAATCTCTCTGGGATTCAATCCTACTCTGTTTATAAAATCATGCTGGTTTAACCACACACATTTTTTAATTAAACAATGGACGAGCAAGAAGCATTCTCTTCTCAAGTTCTCCCACCTTCAAAATGAGGAAGGAAACACTATTTTAAAAGAATTTTTCATTTTTTCAGACGGAAAGCACTCTACGTGTGTGAGGTATACAAGGTGTCAGCAATTGTCACCATGATGTTTTTTATGGGTGTACACAGATCTATAACATAAAACATACATAATGTATAACATACCTACAGGTGTTAGCTTGCCAGTTTTGGAAAACAAGACATTAGCTATATTATATAAATAAATTCCATTCTTCAACAGTGGAATTGCAACAGTTAAAATGGTACAACCCCCTCCCTGGATAAGAGCAGTTATTTCCTGGGTAAACACGAGAACTGCTTTCTTCCATACAAGACAATGACTTATACTGCTTACAGCACTTCTGAAATTACACGCTTTAAAGTAAATGCCAAGACAAGCAACACAGAAATATGAGCAAAACAGAGCTCCCTCATAGGCATCTTTATAAAAGGATCAGAACTGTTACAATGATCTGGCAGACTACATAAAATGCTATAAAAATGGGATGGCAAAGCTCTTCTTTCTAGAAATCTTACAGCTACCACAACGACTGCAGTCAACATGTAACCCTTACTGTACAGACCCATGTAAACAAATACACTCCTATTACAGAAAAAAAAAAAAGAGGATATGCATATGTTCTTCATAGTTTTAACAAAGTAAACAAAAAACTCATCGTTAAAGTCAGCTAATTATCCTTGTCTGTACATTTTCATCATATCAAGATGCAACATTCTAAGGCGTTATTAAAAAAAAAACCTACCTCCATTGGCAACCTCAAACTTGACTCCAAACTCTCCTCCAGGTCCCCCAGGACTGTGGCTGGCTGTTAGAATAATTCCACCAGCTGCTTTGATCTTTCGGATGATACATGAAACAGCAGGTGTAGATAAGATACCATTCTGTCCAATAACCAATCTGCCGATCTAGGTGGAAAAGCAAGTCAAAGAACTCTGAATGGTACTGAACTTATGAAAATTAATAAATAAAACACACACGCACACATACAGGTATACATGCACAGGAGAGAAACTGTAAAGTCCTAGTGTAGAACCTATTCTTTTGCAGAGAAATATGAGTTGGTTGCATGCTAATCTGGAGTGCTGGCAAAAAATATTGTACTCTGGCACGTTTAACCCCAGTAGCCTGACAGCAAAGCAAGAGCACAGCCATGACAGTGATTTGCAAAGCTCCAAAGCATAGCACTGGGCTATGATCCTGCTATCAAACCTTTCCCGGTATCCCCACGAACCAGCAAATCCCCTCAAATATCAATATAGTTCAGGGCTGACGGTGTGGATGCAGTTTGCAGGGTCGGGGCTTTAACTAGCATAAAAGCGAACATCAAGCAAATTGCCTTTCACAGAGCAGCCTCTCAGAGCAATCTCAAGTGTCACTACATACTAGGACCTGTAGTCTCTGCAAGTCACATCTCTACTACCAAGACACCCTTAGATGTAGAATCAGAATCATAGACTCATGGAATCACAGAATAGTTTGGGTTGGAATAGACCTCAGATCCTCGTCCAACCTAATCTTGAATGTTTCCAGGGATGAGACATCTACCACCTCTCTGGGCAACCTGTTCCGGTGTTTCACCACCCTCATTGTAAAAATTTTCTTCCTTATATCCCGTCCAAATCTATCCTCTTTTAGTTTAAAACCATTACCCCTTGTCCTATCACTACAGGCCCTATAATTGCCCACATCTTTCTTACAGGGCCCCTTTAAGTACTGAAGGCTGCAATAAGGTCTCCCCAGAGCCTTCTCTTCTCCAGGCTGAACAACCCCAGCTCTCTCCACCTGTCCTCACAGGAGAGGTGCTCCAGCCCCCTGATCATCTTCTGGCCCTCCTCTGGACTCACTCCAACAGGTCCATGTCTGTCTTGTGCTGAGGACTCCAGAGCTGGACACAGAGATCTCACCAGAGTGGAGTAGAGGGGCAGAATCACCTCCCTCCACCTGCTGGCCACACTTCTTTTGATGCATCCCAGGATATGGTTGGCCTTCTGGGCTGTAAGCACACATTGCCAGCTTATATCTGGCTTTTCGTCCACCAGTACTCCCAAGTTCTCCTCAGCAGGGCTGCTCTCAATCCCTTCATCCCCCAGTCTGTATTGCTATCAGGGATTGTTCCAACCCAGGCACAGGATGTTGCACTTGACCTCACGAGGTTCACCTGGGTCCACTTCTCAAGCTAGTCCAGGTCCCTCTGGATGGCATCCCATCCCTCAGGCATGTCAACTGCACCACTCAGCCTGGTGTCATCTGCAAACTAGCTGAGGGTGCACTCGATCTCATCTTCTTTGTCATTGACGAAGGCATTAAACAGCACTGGTCCCAATACAGACCTCTGAGAGACACCAATCTCCATCTGGACATTGAGCCGTTGACCACTAATCCTCTGGATGTGACCATCCAGCCAATTCCTCATCCACCAAACAGTCCACTCATCAAATCCATATCTCTCCAATTTAGAGAGGATGTTGTGGGGGATCATGTCAAAGGCCTTACAGAAGTCCAGACAGATGACATCTGTAGCTCTTCCCTTGCCCACTGATATAGTCACTCCACCACAGAAGGGTATTAGGTTGGTCAGGCAAGACTTGCCACTGGTGAAGCCATGCTGGCTGTCTCAAATCACTTCCTTGTCCTCCATGTGCCTTAGCATAGCTTCTAGGAGGATCTGTTCCATGATCTCCCCAGGCACAGAGGTGGGGCTGACAGGTCAGTAGTTCCCAGGTCTTCCTGTCTACCCTTTTCAAAAACGGGTGCAATGTTTCCCTTTTCTCAGTTGCCAGGGACTTCACCTGACTGACATGACTTTTCAAATACCATGGAGAATATCAGCCAGCTCCCTCTGGACTCTGGGATGCATCTCATCAGGTCCCATGGACTTGTATATGTTCAGGTTCCTCAGGTGGTCACAAACCTGATCTTCTCTTACAGCAGGAGGGACTTTGCTCCCCCAGTCCCTATCTTGTGGCCGTCCACTCAAGAGTGTGGGAAGAGAGGCTGCCAGTGAAGACTGAGGCAAAAAAGTTGCTAAGTACCTCAGCCTTCTCCTCATCCATTGTTACCAGTTTGCCAGACTTGCTTATTGGGGGAGTACACTTTCTTTAACCTTCCTTTTCTGGTTGGCATAACTGTAGAAGTCCTTCTTATTACTCTTTGCAACCCTCGCCAAGTTCAGCTCCAGCCACGCCTTGGCCTTCCTGACCCCATCCCTGCACAACCGGGCAGTGTCCCTGTACTTTTGCCAGGATACCTGTCCCTGCTTCCACTGATGGTGCATTTCCTTCTTGCCCTTTGGTTTGCCCAGCAGGTCTTGACTCAGCCATGCTGGTCCCTTGCCTTCCTTTCCCGATTCCTTACACTTAGGGATCAAGAGCTCTTGTGCTCTATGGAAAGCATCCTTAAAGATCTGCCAGCTCTTGTCCCTGAGGGCAGTTTCCCAGGGGTCCTATTGACTGACTCCCTGAGGAGATAGAATTTTGCTTTCCTAAAATTCAGGGTCCTGACTTTACACTTTGCCTGGCCCATATCCCTCAGGACTACGAACTCCTCCAGTGCAGGATCACTGCAGCGCAGGCTGCACCCATCTTGACATCATTGATTAGCTTACTCAGATTGGTGACCAGCAGGTCCAGTATGGCATCCCCTCTGGTAGGGCTGTCTATTACCTGGCTTAAGAAGTTATCCTCTATGCACTTCAGGAGTCTCCAGGATTGCCTACAGCTTGCCATGCTACTTTTCCATCAGGTGTTGGGGGGCTGAAGTCCCCCAGCAGGACAAGAGCCTGTGAGCACAAAGCCTCCTGTAGCTGGATTAGGAAGGTTTCATCACTAGGCTCCCCTTGATCAGACGGCCTGTAGTGGACACTAACCACAAGGTTCCCTTTGTTGCCTCAGTCTCTAATTCTTACTCGTAAGCTTTCAGCCTGCTCGTGGCTGTTCTTCAGAGACAGCTCTTCACACTCTATCCATTTCTTGATGTAGAGGGCAACCCCTCTGCCCCTCCTTCCTCACCTCTCCCCTCTGAACAGCCTGTAGCCATCAACGGCTGCACTCCAGTCATGGAATTCATCCCACCAAGTTTCAGTAATGGCAACCAGGTCATGGCTTTCCAGCAGCCATGCCACCTTCTTAAAGGAACAGCACTTAATTCCTTTGAGGTATTTCACTGGTGTTTCCCTGTTGGCCCCTATTACCTCAGGAGCCCCTGGCTCCTCTCCTCTCCATGACTTCAAGTATGCTGCAGTGTACCCAGCACATCTCAGAGCCAATGTCCTGCCCTATAGAAAGTATTGCTCCTCCTTCAGCCATCAGTGACTCCTTGGCTATTCTGGATGAAAAGGGTGTGTCTCCCAGGGCATAACTCAGCAGGGGAAGTTCCCATCACTCTTAAAGTAAAAAAAAAAAAGCTTTCAGGTGGTATCATTAAACACTGACTCAACGTGTTTGGTATTATGTGTAGTTCCACTGCAACGTTCCCATTTCAAAACCTTGCCTTCATCCCCTACACAGATACTACAGCTCAAAATAAATAATCCAGGAACGAACCAGAAATGTATTCATAAAGAAACACAAAAGAATTCCAGTTCCTGGGAAATGGGTAGATGCAAAAAAAGGAAGGGAGAAGGGGCAGTTCATGTCACAGATGAGAACTGAGGCAGCTGCACATGTAGCTTAAAAGAATATTGCAAAAGTTTGGGGTTTTTTAATATCCTCACTCAAAAAAAAAAAAAAAAACAACCAAAAAAACCCACAACCCACCACTATTGAGTAGTAGTCTAGGAAGTGGCAGGGGTGGGGGGAGGGAGAGAGAGAAGCAGAATACTGAATCCTTCCCATTCCCCATAGAAAAGCAGACTGGGAGTTCAAACTCAGATTTCCTGCTTTAGTTTGAGGGAGATTTGATAGCTTGACTGTCTGTATGGCAAAGTAACAGCACAGCAGGTGTCACTACCTGCCTCCTTTCTATAAAGAGCTATTCTTTCACGTACAGATGACCTTCTTCTGGGTCCAGCACTTGTGTGAGGCCCTTAACTGTTATTTAGAAGTGGGGTTTCAAATAATTTCAGAAAAGCAAAGGATTAATGCATGCCTGTTTTTGTGAACGATCTTAATAAAAAAATAAAGATTTCTACACTGAAATTATCAACTTCTAAAGTAAGCCCAAGTTACTTTTTTACTAACCCTCACAAAGCACGAACTATGGTTAGCCATTTCTCTTTCACTAAGAATTACAAGATCTACTTTCAAATTTAAAAAAATGTGCAAAACAATGCATTCTATTAACTGAGATTTCTACCTTAAGATCTGATGATAGGATGATTGTTTGTCTGCCTGGTTCTCTTTTCACAGTTCTTGCAGATAATATTGAAGCCTATGGATTATTGCTAGAAAACAGGAAAGCTATTAAAATTGTAAGTACAGTGCATGGAAAATCTTCAAGGTTCATTTGACTTGCTCTTGCTATATTGGGAAAATGCTTTGTTTCACCACCTTTTTTTCTCCCAGGTTGGAAGAATTCTGAAGGAAATGAAAAAAATTAAGAAACAGAAAACTGTGGTTTCTCATTTTTCCACTATAATGAAAATATTTCCCAGGGAAAACTAATAACCTTTGCAGGAAAAAAAAAAAAAAAAAGGAAATCAGCAGAATCCACATTTTCTGTTTCAACAGATTATTTTAAAGCAGTGCTTCCACCCACTGACATGGTCTGTCGGTGAGGATAGGAGTGTATATACAGCTAACACATATACAACACAGCTGAACCTCATTTCCGCTCACTTTAGTGGTACTGAACAATTTTATTTCCTATTTAAGCCTAGCAATACAGTTTCATTAACCTACGACTGAATGATTAAGAGCAATACCATCTTCCTTATCATAGGACTTGATGCCAACTATAACATAAATACCTGTGATTATTTGCGGAACAAAACATAGCAGTGAATACAGTTTTCCTTGAAGAACATTAAATTTTACACTTGTGCACTGTGACAGCATCTACTTGTGAGATTCTGTATTACTTTCTGACTTCACGCCTCTCCTGCCTTCCCACTCTTGCTTCTCCCTGAAGGTAAAACTAAGCAGTGATTTACAGCACGTGTATTTGTAAATCTCTCAATTTATCATAATTTAGCGACCAAAGGAGCAACATTAAAGGTGTTATTTCCTTCACTCCTAGCTCCAAGCCAAGGGAAGCAGATGATTAAATGTTATTTCACTGATTACAGATCAAAATTGGTATCTCTCTTACTGATCAGATTCCTTCACATTTATGTAATTTTCTTCCCATCTTTTAAAACTCTTCTGAATTTCCAAAAGCTACATTTACATTTTATTTATTCAACTGCTTTGAATACTAAACTACTTCAAAAATACTTTCTGTACAACCCTACTTGTTACCACAGAAATGCAATTCCTACATTTTGGAAGAAGGAAGACTTTTTCTTTTTTTTTTTTAAAAGCAGAAGCATTTCCAGTTTTGAGGGCTGACAACTGACAGACACACTTTCACCTCAGAAAATGCATAGGGTAAATGCCATCAGGAGGGGCACTGAAATCACCAGGAGCTCTAGCATACACTTTGACTCACTTTTAGAATCATGCTCAAGAAAGAAAACTTTCCATTAGCCACATAATTTACTGTTTTATTTAAACCAGTGCCATGTCAGTAATTCAAAAGTGAAATGGAGAATTTTTTTCAAATTGTTCTGAATTTGAGTGTGCCCTTTTACGGCTTCTTTTCAGTCCATGAAGCAGCTTTTGGACAACATGCCACGTCTTGCAAGACTGTTGTATTTATGCTGTCATTTAATCACTCTTGCCAATTGTACTGAAGCTTTAGAAAAAACACACAATGCTGGGAAATAGACTTTAACAAACTCTCTTCCAGTCTATGTAACAGTCTACCCATGTACCTTTATCATGGAAAGAAAAGCATGATGAAAATAAATACTGAAAATGTTTGGTTTGACTATTATCTCTCCCTTCTTTAAACTATGAAGCATGTAGAAAGCTAGAGCAATGACTCAATCTTCCAAATACAGCTGTCAGAAATGGGTGCCAGCTCTTAAAACAGTATTGTGTATGGGTAAGCAAAAGGAACACGACAGGAATTACATTTTGAGAAACGGTGGAAAACAACAACACTGAATCTATCTTGAGGTACTCAAGTATAAATGCATTCATACTTGCACACAGGCTTATCATGAGCACATGTTCTCTGTACTTCTAAATCTAAACTAGTGAGGTTTAGATTTTTGCCTTCATGCACACCGACACTTTTTAAAGTAAGTAGAATACTTAGATTATTCAGAATGCACAAATTACCTGGCACTCTCTCTTCATTGTATTTTCATTTTTTTTTCCTGTTCAACAGATGCTGCTCAAACCAGTTTTCCCATTTTTCTGGATGCCAAATATTAATACGAACAGCAGTAATTTGCTTTGCCTTCAGTATTTGTCACAAGGCTATTATTTCTACACTACTCGGAAATATTATTTATTATACTAACTTCTATACTACAGAAACACTGCAATATTTAGTATTCTAAATTAAGGATGTTGAAAGTGAAATTACATGAATGATACACGGATATTTTATTTGCAGTGACTACTGCAAAGAGCTTCACCTTATGTGAAGATCTTCAGTGCTTTTACGAAACTCCCTGAGGACAGTGCAGACCTTAGAAATGTACTATGCTACCCATCTTCCTCTGTTCCCTCCATTTTGGTGGCAACCTCATCCTCTCGTGGCCCAGAAGCTGTTCCTTTTGCCTCTGAACCAAATAATAAACTGACAATTAATTCATTTTAGGTAATAAACACTGAGATTTACAGACTTCTCACAATCTAGGCTAAAACAGTAACCAAATAATGTCCATGTACTGACTCACAATTAAAGTTCCAGTAATATCCTTCTGAAAATCTTGGACAGTTTCATAGCATGGAAAGATTATCTTTGGAATTCAAAAACTTGCATGGCTACAAGATCACAGGCATGTAATGTCTCTTCTAATACTGTGCTCCTACACCACGTTCTATTCTGTCACTCTGCTTCT